CCCACCCACGCGGGTGACAGGCGGGATGCGGGACGCGGCTGGAGCCCATGGAACACGGAAACAGCGCGGAACGCGGCGGGGGGGTTCTAGGACGCGGCGCTCGAGAAGGGCTGGGGGAGGGGCAGCGCCCTGCTTACCTGCCCCGCTGCGATGCCCCCCGAGAGCCAGGCACGCGCCCGTCCCGCACTCCCGGCCCCGCGCTGCGCGGTGGAGTCGTGGCACTTTTTCCTCCGAGCTGGCGCTGAGCCTTTTTTTTCCAAGGGCTCCCCCTCCGCCCCGCCCCCGCGGCGCAGCATGGCGCCTCTGCCATTGGTCCCCTGCCCTGCCAATCCGCCCAATGAGCGAGGAGGAGGAGGAGGCCCGAGGGCTCCTGCGAATGGACTGGGCGGGCCTGTGACGTCCCGTGCCAGCCGGGCCAATGGTGGGCCACGAGGGGGGTTGTGGGAGTTGTAGTTCACCGCTGCGGGCTTTGACCCGAGGGAGGGAGCATCGCCTCTAGCAAACGCCCGCCCAGGAGCTGCCCGGACTCTGCCGGGCGTCGGGCTGGGCCGGGGCTGGCCTGGTATTTCTATCAGTGCAGGTGAAGGGAGGGATTAAAATAACGACATCAAAAATGAGTGATACATAGAGGGTCTCCCACTATGGGTCCCTGCAGCACCCAGCACCCTCCTGCCAGCGGTTCTCTCTGGGGTTTTGCTGGTTGCCCCCGCCTGGCATAATGCAGTTAGTTCCATTAAAGAAAATGAGAGGCCCCTGATTCACACTCTATATTTATTTTACAAGCCAAAATCCAGCCAGCCTAACAGGATTAAAACATCCCTTCAAACCAGCAGCAGCAGACAATGTTGCTGCAAAGGCCCTGGATCGGGCAAATACATCAGGTCATTCCTTAATGGACCCAAATACCATCATGGAAATAAATGGAACTAATCACATGAATAACCTTAAGCACCAGCTTAAGTGTTTTCAGGACCCAGAGCTAAGAAAGGGTTGAAGGTTCCAGCAAGAAGCATTACTGTAAACGGTGTGTTCAATGCTGGTCACACAGTGTAATATTCTCTCTATTTCTGTATTGGCTTTAGGGATCAGGGCCCTTTTTGTGCTGTGTGCGTGTATAATAAAATGGCAGTTCCTGCTGCAAAATGACCATATTCTGTGTTCGTACAAAACAAGACAAGTGAAGTAAGTAAGCCACTTGCTGCAGCTTGACTCTGTCTTCTACAGCAGGTAGATAACGGTGACATGTAGACACCACAGGTTAATAGTGAAAAAAATGAAATCATGAAGTTGTTTGAAAAAGTCTTGGCTGGGTTCAATTTTGAAGGCATATTCTTCCCACATCCTCCTGTGTCCCCATCTTCTTGTGTCCCGTCCTATTAAGCTGCTCACTAGACTCTTTCTTGAAAAGTTTCCCACTGGAGTACAGTTTTTCTGATCCAGATCACCCTTTGCAGTTAGCCTGCAGCTTTGAAATTCACTGCTGAGCTCACTATGGATTTGAATCGCTTCTTTGCTTTGGTTGTTAGCAGATGGGAACTGTTCTATTATGCTGTATGAGGGTTTTTGTATGAAGATAATAACCTGTATGTCGGCAAAGACCATCAAAAACATTACCATTTTGGCCTGATAGCTAATGTTTGAAATCTAATAGCATGGCACTGCAACAGCTGGCCATCACGAGATGGTTTTATGCTATGATACTTCTTTAAATACTCAATCTAGCTTTGCCTACTTAAGCTTGACTCTCTGCATAGCTGCAGATATCACTTAAGATTCATTTGCATGATTTTTACATTTAATAGAAATTTCCCCACAGGGACTTGGCTCCGTTATTTACAACTGGAAGAACATTATTGCACATTCCAATGAAACGTCATGCAAATATATACTAATCACAAGTGTCAATCAAATATCTGATTTGTATTACGTGGGATAACTCTGTGCACTGTGGCTGACACTATGCATCATTCCCATGAGAACCATAGCCCTTATTACTATTCAGGTTGCAGGAGATATTAGGGAGCTCATTCAAGATCAGTCCTTTACATGGCACACGGGGCAAACACATAATCAGAAGAATCCCACCTCCAAAATCCCAAAATCATCTAAATGGAGAAGGCAGACAGAAATCAAATGGCTGAAGATCATACATCAGGTCAGCTGAAGACGTGAGACTAAAAGGAAAGTCCCTTGTCTTAGGAGCCGATATCCGAACCACGGGGCCATAATGTCCTTCTAAGAAGTGATGGTATCGCATCAGCTGATCAGAATCCTTTGCCAACACAATGTCATGCATAGTTGCGAGCAAATTCAGTAGTGACAGATGGCCACATCAATTTATTACTGTGCCCAGGGCTAGAAGCAGCACCTGAGTACCTGCCTATCAGCAGAGCAGGAAAACTGTCTCACTTTGCTAGACCCATTCATGTCCTTTCTCTCTCTGGATCACCTTGCAAGAGACTGCTAGGAGACCTGTTTCCCTGCAGTAGCTCCACACTTCTCCCTGGACCTGTTCATACAGCAGTGATGCTCTTTGAGCTTTGCCCTGAGAATTGGTTCCAGTCTCCAGGCATTGCTGAGGATCATATTTGTCACTCCCCATCTCTTCACAATCCTTTTGCACTGCTCCTGTATTCAAAGCAAGTCATTTGCAGGAAGCCAGTTGCGAAAGGCCATGTATAATCAGGTCTCCCTTCTGGATAAGCTCTGAGCAGCTCCCATAGGCCCAGCCTACATCCGGTAAAGAAGTCCTAAACCTATGGTCCCTACAGACATGGTGGGATGGGCCTTGCAGAATCCCCTTTGTAGTGGCAACTCAAGCCCCCCTGGCCAATCAAGCTGGTCCAGCCCCACTCATGACTGAAGAATGACATACGAGGTCCAATAAACTACATCTTCTTGGTATGATGACAGCTCTGGCATGCAGAGGCTGGCATGCTAACATTATTCTGAACCTCCCAATCTACCTCCACCTGTTTACAACCTAGATTGTGAGCCCAGAAGCAGGCCAAATTAACTCCTGGATTAGACGCCAGAGTTGCATCTCCAATACCAGCATTCAGTCTGTCCCAGTCTAGACCATAGGGCGGGAGAGCAGATGGTCAGGAACATTGCAGAGGAAGGTAAAACCAGAACCTCAGGGGACTCCTGTGTATTGCTACCTTTGGCAATGGAGCAGTCAGACATCTGTCTGGGCTAAGCATCATTCTGTGAGTGCATGCAGAAGACACAATGACCCTCCAAGTAAGGTCTTCAAGAATCCTTAGCTCAGAAATACTAGTGGTCAAGTGCAATCTGCTGCCTTCCAGGCACCAACACGTACTGTCTATTAAGAGGCACGGTGTAGAATTCTGTGTCACCTACTGGACTACCAAAGTGCAAGCTTGCGACCAATTCTGAGTTACTTAACTAGAGGATAGAAATAATTGTTATTTCCTCTGGGTACATTAGTGGGTGTACTTACATGCCCTGAAGAAGTAATGAAATTTAGCTGAGTAACTCAGCATGGGTCTCAGTCTGCACTTCAGTCATCCACCAGGTAAAATGAGCCAGGGATAAGTCATTGTTAGAGATGATGATTACAGGCTTGTCTACACCCTGTCGTGGCACATCCTAGTAAAGACAGGACTGATCCCACTCCACCCAGCCACGCCCTCAGGCCCAAGCCAAACATAGTAGTTTGTCAGAGCAGCTGCTCCAGGCTCATTCCTCTGTGTCCACTCTCAAGCCCTTGGTCTCCAGTGGGCCTGAGAACTGCAGCTGGGGACAAGCCTACAGTGACCTCACTGGCAATTTTTCAATTTGGAGTATGCTTGTAGGCCTCGGTAGGCAGAGGATGCTTTGGCTCCCCCACTCCTGGAGCCACAGCCATAGATGAGCCCTGAGATTGCCAGGGGGCTATGGTGAGCACGTTTGGGGTGTGCAAATCTGGGATTTCACCTGCCTCCTCCATGTCCTACTGACTGTTATATATGTACTTCTTGAGTCCATCTGCTACCTCTTTATGCTGCTCTTGCAGTGAACAGCAGTCAGATCTGTCCAGCTGAATGCCTCCCATGTGCATGGGAGTCCTATGCTGGCATGTGTATAGACACGGCATAGCTGGCTCCTGCAGCTCAGGACAGGGATGACTTAGAAACTCAGGGTACATTGATGGTGGGGTGGAGGCAGTGCAATCAACAGAGCAGTTGCAGACTTAGGTTGGGAATCACTGCTGTCAATGGTGACTCAGGCCTTGACCCCAAGCCCATTGAAGCAAACAGAAACCTTTCCATTTTCTGCAATAGGCACTGGAGCAAGCGCTTTGGAACTGATGACACTGAAACAATTCCTTTCTGACAGACTGTCAGGCAGGGACCAGAATAGCATAAAGACCACGTTATTCCATGCCCATCAGTGTTGAGGTGTCTTAATAGACTACAGGTAGGGCACAAAATTAACAGAACTGTCAGAGCATGGGTTCATCACTGGATAAGCTCCTGCATATATTTACTATCTGAGGCCAAAGAGGGAGAAAACGCATGTTGATAATAGATGGAAGAATGCAGAAAAGGAAAACTGAAAAATTAGCTGAAGCCTAAAGCCTTCACCATGCTATACTGTAATTAGCTTCACAAGAGCAACTGGAGGTCAGAATCCACTGGGCACAGTCAGTCCCTGCCCCAATCAGTGCACAGTCTCTCAAGATGAAACACAAAAGAGCTCCCCCCACTTTGCTTGGATTGCCCCAATGTCACACAGAAGATCTGTGCTAGAAGATGAATTTGAACTAAGTGTTCCTACATTTTAGTTCTATGACCCCAGGCTGTCCTTCCATTTGCTTTTATGGAACAGCTCTAGCCAGGAGCTAAGGCAGTTGTATGTTATCAAAGCTCTGACAGTCAGTTGGACATTGAATCTGGAGCAAAAGTTCATTTGTTATGAAATCAGGACTCAGGATATAATATTTAGACCCAGGATCCTAGGGTTGAACCTCAAGGGTCCATCCCTCTGCACAGATGCAGAATATGTTATCCCTATGCTGTTCCAGCCAGATACCTGTCCAGCCTCTTCAAAACTTCCAATGAAGGGGATTCTACAGCTTCTCACAGACAGCTTGTTCCATCATCCCACTGTTTTAGGAAGTTCTACCTGGGGTTTGATCTTAGCCTGCTTTGCAGACATTTGAACCCATTCATTTAAGGTAATAGTTTAAACCCCTTGGGAAAGATACTGTGACTCTTGATCTTTCTGGATTTCCCAGTCATCCCA